TTTTAAGGTTCATCTACAAGATCTACAATGAGAGCAGTAAGTCGTAAGCCGTAAGAAATTTATCATAGTCGATTATTCTTTTCATATTCGACTGTGATTCGATCAATTTCTTACAGCTTACGACTTACTATACTCTCATTGTAGATGGGCTTTTAGTGTCAGTCCACAATAAGGATTTTAAGTCTTACACCGTAAGATATTGACCAATTACAATCGATTATTCTCCTCATATTCCGCCACGATTGGTCTATTTCTTACTGTTTAAAGCTCAAAATCCTCATTGTGAACTAACATTTACATTTCTTAACGAGAACGAGCGGAAGCGAGACTTATATCTGCCGGAGACGATCCCCGAGATGCGTTTACGCTGTAACTGTATTTAAAATGCCATAACGTCATAAAAATATACGCTGCGACAGTGCGCACCGCGACAAGGTATACCGCGGCACGGTAATGAGTTTAGTTTCGCGACGACTTTTAATACACGGAGGTTTTTTCTGAGTGCCCGCCCGCGCGCGATCCGGGACAGAAGTCGTAATAATCGTAATAACCCGCGCCACTTTATTACTCGGCACGCATAAATGCAATCTAAAGCACTCGGATATAAAGAGAATACTCTCTTAAATTTGCGCATTTACTCCCGTATTTCATAGCGAGAGTATATTAGAATAAAAAGTAAAAATAATAAAATTCCATGCAGTCATTAGAAATAAAGATTCGTTTTGGGCAGCGAGGAGACCTCAGTTTTCAGTAACTTATTCATTAAGCTATTGATTTTCGATATTCTTTCTCGATAAAGAATTTACGGCCACAACACTGTGTATACACTGTGTCTACGTAGTTCGCTTCAAAGCGAGTTCACAGCGAAACGGTTGGGGGGGGGAGGGAAAGCTCTCTCTCTCTCTCTCTCTCTCTCTCTCTTTCTCTCTCTCTCTCTCTCTCTCTTTGAGATACCACTGACGGGTATATTTGTATCCTGCGGGACGGCAGAGGAAATTATTCCGCAGGGAAACAATGGGAGAGCGGTGGTCTCGATGGCGGAATTAATTATAGTGTAGGACTTAATGAACGCTTATTATCGCCCTCTTTTTGAGACAAGGGGAAGGGGGGGGGGGGTTATCTCTCGCAGCGAGAGATAATGCGAAAACGCCGTCGCGACAGGAAGGGAGTCGCGAAAGCGTGCGATATTATCCACGAATATGAATTACGATAATAATTTCTTTGCGAAACTATCTCGTCGAGCGCATAGAAATCGGTACTTTGAAAAACAAGCAAAAATTTCTCCATCATTTTAAAGATTTCTATTTTGTTAAATTGATAAATTATACATATATTATAATACATATATTATAAAAATTAATGAAAAAGATAAATATATAATAAATATGATAGAAATCTGTAAGGAGAAAAATTATAAGTTAATGGTAACGCGTTGGGAAATACCTTGATCATTGCTTTTTTTTCTTTATAGATATCTCGATATGCGCGCTGCTTATTATCGTGCGTATTAATTAAAAGCTTTCCTCGGGTCATCCAGCTCGCAACAGACGCGCGTCCTGAACGCGCAGAGTTAGCATCGACGACGGGGAGTCTGTTCATATCCTGGTTATTGTTTAATGAACGTGTACTCCGTGGAAATTAATGCGATTTCAGCGCATTGTGCCCGTGGAAATTAACGCGATTGTAGATAATACGTATTCCGCCATAACGCCGCGCATGTAGGATTACCTGTTTGTTTCTTTCCGTACTTCCGGCGTTCGTTTGTTACGCTCATTCATAAGCTGCGTTTGATAAATTATTTTAAGCTTCAACTATTCTATGCTACCCTGTAAAGCTTGTCTCGCAAAATACGCAAATCCGTGTCACCCGCGCATTAAGAACAGTGAGAGGACAAACATTTACAGTTGTTCCAGCGCTGCAGGTAGACGCAGAATAAACTGCATCAGCAGTTCCGCGTCACATACGAATACAAATCCTTGATGTGACGTAAATAACAATTTTATGCATATCTTGGTGTACCAGAATAATTGTATTTTTAATTATATGGGTCTTTTTTGCACGCGTTGCGATAATAATTTGCCGTACACGAAAGAAAAAATGGCATTGCGTTAATCTAATCTAATTTAATCTAACCGTATTAATCTAATTGGAAGTAATCTTATTAATTTAATAATATAAAGATTAATGAAACTAATACTCGTATTTGTCTTATTAAAACAAGAACATGACGTAATTCAATAAACCTTAAATTAAACTTCTCTTAAGGTAAATCTTTTTCGAAATTGACTAGAAATACAAAACTGTTATCTCTATCGATTAATTTTGATGATTAAATCGAGGAAATTCAATCATAAATATTTTCCATTCATCTTTGAATAAACTCATAGCTGAAAAAGAAATACTTCAGTTATTTTGTCTCGGAGTGTAAAAAGCAAGGAAAATCAATGAAATTTTTAATCAAACGCATAGCAAATTTTGACATTGATTAAGCAAATGTCAATCTCCGGATTATTAATGCAGAGCTCTAACTGAGCAAATAGTCACTCCTAATTATTACGTTCTAACTATCAATATCAATGATCACGGCTTTCGACAAGATGTATATGTGATGTACGGACGTCTCTTTGATTGGATAGATATCCATGTAGACAGCTAGGATAGGCAACCCGTCTGTGAGCTAGACAGATGGTTCATCTAGAATAACTGTTGATTAGGCGGCGGGTATCCGTTAATACCGGACAGCGTTCAATAGTACATGCCGTTGTTTGCCCGGGCAATGGTACTATATGCTACAAAGCGTCTTCGAAATCGAAGACGAGAACATCATTTGAAATTAAGATTCTAAAATGCAGCTCACGTTTACCTTTGATATTTTAAACTCAGACTCTCTTAAAATTCCATCTCTAAGAAAATTAACATTTGTAACTAATGAGAAATCTGCTTGAAACTTTTTATAATTATTTTTTTATTAATATAACAGAATAACTTAAAATATTCATTATTAGTGAAAAATACGCTGTTAAAAGAAATATTTTACGCTACAAAACTAGTATTTTATGTGCATTGAGGCTTTATATTAACCCTAGATATACACACTGGGGTCCCCGGGACCCCAGCGAAACTTTCTCGGTTTGGCATTTCTAAAATTGGAAGGGGAGGGATTTGGGATATTGACGTAAAAAAAGTTTGGGATCTCCTTAGTAGGAAGACATGTTGACGCGCGGCAATTATCGCTCAACAACCGAGCAGTGAACAGTTGAAGTGAACGTGGGGTTCCCGGGACTACTTACAGTTTTGTTGAAAAATTAAAATATCAGATCGCCAAATTTTTTTGTTACTATTTCAAGTATGCCCTTTCAGAATTTTCAAGGATTTTTCAAATCGGTCTATAAACAAAAGAGATATGATTTTTTGAAAAAAGGTGCTAAATCGAGATTTTTTCGCGTTTTTGAACTTTCCTTTTTCTTTGAACCCGTATATCTTGGAGCTCCTTAATTCTATCTACTTTTAAACATTATGGGTTTGTTTCTTGGTCAATTCTCTATAGTTTGAAAAAAAAATTAATTGAAATATGTCCATTTTTACTAAAGTTACAGTAATAAATATGGATGGGGTTCCTGGGACCTCAGTGTATATACGACGTCGTCAAAAAAAAAAAAAAAAAAAACAGTGTATACCTAGGGTTAAATTTACCAAATTGATCTTAAAGAATTAAAAAGCTAGAAATTTTTAAATTCTTTTTGAGCTGTAATAAAATTTTCTCTCAAAAATTGCTAACGAATATCCACTATTATTGTACGAACGTGTATATGTAAAATTAGAGGTTTATTTTGAATAATTAAGAATTTTTTCTTAAAACAATAATAATTGGTCCCGGATCGTTGTATATTGTCGGAATTGATTTACATTGTCGGCTCCGGCTTACAATTGCCGAATTCGCGAGTATTCTCTCGCGGCAGACAATTGTCTGTGTCTCTGATAGTTTACCAGCTTTCCTTACTAACATCCCCGGACGACAAGTATACCTTGCTAATTAGCCAGTAGTAAACCAGTGACGTGCGGCGCCTTCAGTAACATTCACGGGCGTGTATTTACCTCCGTAGCGCGCACTTTCGGGATTCCCTTTCGTCATAATTAGTCGTAACAGTCAGCGGCGGTGAGCCACAGGTAGCGGTCTCTCGAGGATGGGAGACGTGGAGTATCTCCGTGCCGTTCGGCCGAATGAGGCCCGTCCGCCGTCGTGATTGACGGTGACATCCACGTTACGGCCCTTGGGACGTGCCACTCGAATTACCCCCGCTGTCGACCCGCTTATTGCCAGAGGAATAATGACAGACGACGTCCCACCATTATCGATACGATCCCGGATCTTTTTCAGCCCCGGGTCGACGTATTACAGTCGTAACATGACGAGCTTGTCGAATGTGCTAATTAAAGTTTGATAGGTGACTTTCACAGAAAGATTTCTGGTCGGACTCATCAACTTCTTTTTGACATCTATGCAGTATTTAGATGGGAAAAAAGTATCTTTCTTTAGATGTTCTCAATATATTTGTAATTAGAGTAATTTTGAAGTGTTTCGCGTACTATTGAATAATTTAGGATGGATTACATATGCATTTTAGTAATATGAGATATTTGGAAATAAATATATTTTCTAGAATTTTTTCTTTGTAGAATAATTCTTGCTTAAATTTTGAGAAATTGTATTTATTAAAATTTGATTTTGTTTATCAATTTTATACAGTACCACTGTGTAAAATTAATAAGTTTATTTACAATTTACACATTTACAACTATTATACTTGCAATTATTAATTTTAATTGTTAGAATTTTAAGTTTTGCATATATTTTGTACATTTAACCGATTCACTATATAATTCGTATCTTGTCGCTGGATTTTAAATAATTAAATCTAAGATAGTCTGCAACTTTAACACGGCATCACACATTATTCCGCTTATACCCTCCTAACTACAGTTCCATTTTGTCTGCGCAGGTAAACCCAGACCGCAAGTCTCGTGGTATCTGGAATCGCAGAACATCCATGCGTCTACCGAAGTTCGAGAGACGCAGAGACCGGGCGGCGAGACCAACGTCGTAACCATCAGCAACGTGACTGTGAAAGCTCTCACGAGGAGGCATCATCATGCCAAGCTGTCCTGCCGAGCGAATAACACTCAATTAGCGCCGCCACCCACCACCACCGTCGTCATAGAGCTTAACAGTGAGTGCGCTCATTCCAATTAACGTTAATTGCACGCGACGCGACGTGATGCCGCGACGACCTTTGCCCTCTTTGGAATTTTTTTGCTAGAAACGCAGGCCTAATCAGGCTGCACACGTTGTTTTTCTTTATTCGCGAGAAAACGAGAAAACGAAAAAAAAATGAACGCGAGAAAAGTAACAAGTTAGTTAAGGTGGAAGTAAATATCTTTAGGTGAATCGTTCATGACGACGCGGCTTTCTCCACTTCCCCCCCC